GCATAGTTTGTGTGAACAAATTTCAGTCTGTGATTTGTGAAATATAGAACTGTCACTTTATTTTCTGCTAATTGTTCTTTTGCTATTGGCTAGCTAAGTCACATGGCATTGCTTCTATTGTTTGACTGGATAACTGTAACTTTAAATAAGAGACTAAGAAAAGATGAATGCTGAATAACAATATGCTTTCAATTCAAAGCTTTAGACAGATAATCAGTCATGCTAAAAATGATGAAACAACCAGGGTTAAAAAATAATCAGTAGTCAGAAATTCTTGGGGACACAAACTATGAATATCAGTGGAGCAAACCATGTTTATTTTGAATGTACTTCTAAACAATTCTGTATTTTTACCCTATTAGTGCTCATCTGTAAAACTGAATGTTGTTTTCTTCTGTGTGGGCAAACGGCAAGATGTAGTGTGTAAAGTGACCTTCTGGACTCTCTTCAAGCATAAGAAATAGCTGATTTTACAAAGTATTTGGGGGACACCACTTATTCATTCTGTGTACCTTTCACTATTTGTTAAACAGCATGTGCTTTTATGCTGTTATATAAACACTATTATTTGTTTCTCTCATGCCTCACTCAGGCTTTAGAAAAGCCTGTGATCATGTAAATTTAAGTAAAATGATAAGAGATTCATTTAAGTTTACATAATGGTGTTCTGAGCTTTACTCAGTTTTGTTTTGTTTTTTTATAATCCAGATACACAGATCAGGCAATGTTAAGTGGCTTTCTTTAGCGTTTAAAGAAGAAATATAAGCAACATTTTAAAATACTAAAAGATATGATAAAGTCAGCAGCACACCACAAAATCATCTCTTGAGCATCTGCTTACACAGGCATTTGCAGGACTGTCTAGCACAATGGAGGCATAATATAAGTAATAAATAACAAAACAGTACGATTTCAGACTTCCACCCTGGAACTGCTCCATTTGTAGATCTTCCATTGAAGTACATGGCTATTTTGTACATAAAAAAAAAACCTTGAAAAGACTAGGTCCTCTGCAGCTCTAATAATGGAAAGTTACAACCTGAAGTCACTGGGGGGTATTTGTCCTTAGACCAACACAGCTACAACCTAGGCAGACAAGTGTCTTTGGGTAAATATGATATCTTTTATTACATCAACTAAATAGTTGGAAAAATTGTTCTTTGCAAGATTTTGGGTACAAACACCCTTCTTCGGGTAGAGGGAGTCTACTGTAGACTCTCCCTCTGCCTGAAGAAGGTTTTGTACCTGAAAACTTGCAAATAACAATTTTTCCAATTATTTAGTTGGTCTAATAAAAGGTATCACATTTTTACCCAAAGAACCTTGTTAACCTGAAGCCATTACATTCTCTGGACTACAAAAGGCATAAAAAGCTGGTAATAGTAAGTCCTGACATAAGGTGTTATCCTACTTCTTTGAGTTGTATGCTTGCAGAAGACATACATTTGAAATGTGACAGGAGGATCTCTTGGCAGCTATAACTGACACAATAAAAATATGATAGGAGACATGACTTCTAAGTGACGTTTCTCAAATATCTTTCTCAGATTTTTTTTACTCTTAAGTTCATAAGGAACATGAGGAAACTGAATACCTTTTAATACTTGATATTTGATCAGAGAACAAAGTTTCTACTAATTTACTTCTCAGAGAAAAAAAATCTGCAAAAGTTTCTGTTTTGCTCCATGCTAGATGGAATAGATAGAAAATGGGTTGATGGCTAGTACGGCAATACAGATACATATGTTTTATAACATTCTGGAAAGTGTCTGTCCCAGCCATAAACACTCTGTGGATGTTATACCCAATTCATGGCTCACCTGAGCTTCTCCACTGCAGCTGTTACTCTTTTTCCTTCAAGGGCAAAGCTGCCTCCATAAGGCAGCCACATTCAGAAAGTTATATATGGTTGCCAACCTTGTCCTTGTTCCCAGGGGCAGAACTTGTGAAACTGCCAAATCACATTGCATTCGAACTCTAAAGCAGGGGTTTCAAAGATGCAGCACATGTCTGTGGAGCTGCCATCTGGTCCCCCAGTGCTACCCCTGGATCTCAGAGTAGACTACCCTTGCCAGTCCAGGATCCACAGTGCGCACAGTGACTGATCTGGGACCTGAGCTGCATGCAGTGCTTGCTGGTACACACCATGTGCAGTGCAGGTCCTGGAGTGGGTTGAATGGGCATTGTGTGCAGTGTGGGTTTTGGAAAGGGTAGTGTGGGTGCCATGGGTGCTGGGTATGGCATATAACAGTGGGTGGTCCATGGATTAGATCCGGCTTGTGGACTGGTCCCACAACACTCATCTAACCCACAGAGCAGATGAATTTGACACCCATGCTCTAAAGGATGGTAGATTAGGGCAGCAAAGAGCATGCTTAGTATTTCCCTAACATGCTAGGGAGACCAGGACAAATGCTTCATGGCTGACTGGTGAGAAGAATCTTAAGCTTGGTCTACTTTAGTGAAATTTTATGCATTCCTCAGAACTTTTTTACAGGACTGCATAAAGGTGAGCAGAGAGAATGGACAAATAATAGGGAAAATAGAAACTATATGGTATCCCAATGCAAATAATGCTTAATTAAAATATATTAACGTGAACTTAATGCTAACAGTCTTAAAATGGATGGTGAATTCTAGATCAACGGTATAAAGTACAACATATAATCTGCTGTTGAGTGTTTTGAAAGCCAGAGGGGCTATAAGGTATGCAAAAAGATCAACTATTTTATAATAGCCTTTAATTAATAAATGAATTACAATGCATTAACAGTTGCACTGTGGTAGTGCTACAGGCCTCAGCAAAGAGAGTTCTATTCTGGTAGGCACAGTGACAAATGTAACTACCCTTCTCACTCTCAGGAACATCAAATTTTATTAAATGTGAAAGTGTTTGACTGAATGTTGTGTCCCTCTCTCACTTCTGTAGTTTCAAAGCAAATCTTTTTAAGTGTAAAGCAAGCAATTTACTTAGGAAATTATCTGCCAAAGCTCAGAAAGATCAGGAAATGCCAACTCCACAATGTGGGAATACTACTGCTTGTACAAAGGCTCAATGTGTACCATTCAAATTGCAAGGCACCATATCCTGTCTGCTCTTCTAAAGTCAGCTTTTGTAGTATCTTCCCCTCTGAATCCTCCTTAGTCAGGCTTAGTGTTCCCTCCTCACTGTTTCCAAATAAGAGTCAAAGGAATGTAATTTAATTGTATAGTTGGCTGTTTTATGCAAAGAGAAGAGTCAGAACTAATGGACATTTTTCTGAAGGCCATATATAACCAGGGTTCTTAGGACATTAGCTTTAATCATAGGAATTTCCATAATCATTGTATGGGTTTAAAGAAAAAAAAGCGTATACTGATTAACAATACAATGATTATGTAAATCCCTCTACCCTGGTTGGCTGAAGCCATTAGTAGAAAGATATGCATTTGAACATTTTATAATTATAGAGAAATAATCATACAGCAATTATGCACTTGCCAGAGTACAAGGAATTGCATAATTTAAGAATAAAGGGTTTGCCTACAGATAAAGTTATTTTAGAATAGCTGTTCTTCTCCAAACTCACAACCTACCTTATTACAGTTTAACAGTTTAAGCAAGACATAAATGTACATTTTATAGATCAGTGGGAAGTTTAGACAAATCTATACCACCTCAACAATCCATCTGTGTTTATCTTAATTGGTTTTCATGACATTGGCTTTATGCTAGATTTTTTTCCACCCTTAAAAATTATATATAGTTATAACTATATAGAATAAATTAAGAAAATTGTATATATTGCCAATGGGAATACCAGTGTAGAAAAGATACCAACGTTAACATGCTGGCAGTGATCATTGCTGTTATCGCTGGTAGAATCAAACTAATAACCAGAAAGTTGAAGGAAGAGAAACAGGACTGAAAAAAGGAAAGAGAGAGAAACTGATTGTAAACACCTCAGGAAGTATTTCTATACATCATCTATTTGTCTGTTCAAAATACCCAGCTTTCTTTGAGTAAAATTAATGTTAGATAAAAGAAAAGTGTTCAGCAGTAATAAGAAATTTGAAATGTAGTTTCTGTCTTGGGTTACTTGCAAGAAGCGGGACGTTTTGTAATATCTTTCAGATATTATACAGTAAGTAAAGCATAACCATTAAGTGGCTCCCAAAAGGGGAAACTGAGGAAGAAAACGAATGGGAGATATAGGAGAAGGAAAGGTGTTACAACAGAAAAAAAGGGGGAGGGTAGACCCTCAAATGACATTTAGATTAATTGACAAGAATTTAATGTGGAGAAGCAGAGAAAAAACAAAACAAAACAAAAATAGACCCACAGAGCATATAAACATTCATAATCTTGGCTAACTGTTCTTTATTGTGTGCTTAGAGGAAGCTGTTTTGCCCATAATCCACATTTTGGAAACTCATTTTTGTCTAAACTAATTCTGTTAAATTAACAGAGACCCTTTAAAGTATACCCGTGCCCTTTGGCAAATAACATACATTAAATTTTTTGATTTTAGTTCTCAAAATAAGTTTATTTCCATGTAGGAACACTGATCGAAAAGTGAAAGTAACAAAGTTCCTTCAACCTTAAAGACACTATATAGAAAGTCTTACTTTCTTTATTTTACACACAGTTATTCAGCTTCTGTCTTTTCAGCAATCAACATAGCCAAACACTTTAAAACAATAAGTTAGACAGTAACATTACAACTATAAAGCTGAATCATATTTACAAATACAATTATGGCTTTTTAGCCAAAGTAGATTAAAAAAAATATACCTTTCTTCCACTGGAAGAATTGCTCTTTCAATATTAATCATCATAGATGCCAATATTTTAATTAATAGGGCTATTTCAGTAGGGTGATGAGGAGACACTCATTTAGCCACTTGCTAACGCATAGTGGTATAGAATGACATTTCTCTCCCTGCCAGCCATACGCCTAATGATTAAGTGATTAGGCCTAGTATTCCATAGAGATAATCAAATCGCTTCTGGCCCATACAGTTAAAGGTAAAAATCATAGAAACTTCGTGTTACTTTAACAATAAGGAGGTAACTTTTCTTATCTTTGTTATACTTAGAGAAGCTGACAAAGCAGTGAGAATAGTAATGAAGCTGTAAGGATGTACTTTGTCATTTGAAGCTTTAGTCCTTCAGAACTGATTCCAGGTTGAATCCAATCAGGCAGCTTTTTCTTTGTAGGACCTGAATATACAAAACCCCACCTCAATTTAAATGGCTTTAAATTAAACAGACACAGGTATGATTTGCATGGGTTGTTTCAAGTCCTTCATTGCTCTAAAATACTTCCTTTCAGGCTTCCAAGAAGCTACTTCAGCTGAACAACCAGCTATGGAAACACTTTGAAGGCAGTGTTCACAGTTCTGAAAGGGCTGCAAACAGCAGCACTCCAAGAACATTTAAGAAATGACTGATGAGATTTTATGGTGCTCAGGAGAGAAAAATCTCTGAGTATTCATATGTAAATCCCAGATATTTGCCAGAATGTTGCTTTTAAGTACTGCCATATTTTCTTTGCAAGTGCATATGGAGTAAGTAGCTGGAGGTAATGTTCCCCATAGAGACTCAGAAATTTGTTTTAATGTGAAACACAAATGTCAGAGCACTAAAAGCTTTCAGGTTTTTTTCCTTTGCAAATAAAGTCCTCCAGGGAACTAGAAAGGGGGGAAAAAAAACCTATTCTAAAGAGAGAACCAAATTTCTTAATTTACTTAATGGTCTTTCCAGGTTAATTGGATTTTGTTAATCAGAATGTTGTCCCCTTGTATTTACCTTTATTTCAACATTAAGGGCTTCACTTGGTAAACATTTAATGAAGAGAAGCCTTTTTCCTTTTTGTCACACACAACATAGATAAATTCTAATTTAGCAACCTTCTGCTTAAATTGCAGAGAATCTGAAGGGAATGTTTTCCCCCCCCCCCCCCTGTGTTTGCATGCTACATATATAAATAGAGTCCAAATGACTCAGTGTGCGTGCATAGCTGTGTCACACTATGTAAACAGTTGCGATATAATATGCAGTGTAATATATATTATTTAACAGTTGTATATATTACACACACATTGGGGAGGAGGAGGGAAAATCTCCTCTCCCTAAATTCTAGTAGACCTACTAAATTAAACGTATCTATTGCTAAATATAGGTGGATTGAAAACTTCTTAGATATAACCTCATTCTATTTACCCTCCCCGAGGATTTAGAGTCCCACTAGGGAAAGTCCTTCAACTCCAACATTTATCCACATCTCTGAAGAAAATATTAACGTGAACTTAATGCTAACAAAAAGATATTAACATCCAGAAATCTTTTATGAGCCTAATAATATAAAAGTTTACTTATACGTGTCCTCAACTATAATCTTGAGGAGTTGCCTACAGTATTAATGGGGGGTCCTCCACATATTTTGCTAAAAACTTCCAATCACTGATGACATGGATAGGATTCCACTGATGATAGCGAAGTTGAGAGCTCTAATGTAAACCAGGTTCCAGCTGTTAATGTCTTAACTGCAGAATCAAAAGGATCTGCTTTAAGCAGGGCTAAATGACTCAATTGCTAAGATGCCAGCGGGCAGTGTACACTAGAAATCCCATGACTGCTGGAGCTTCAATGGTGCTGAACTGGTAGAAACATTGTGTCAAAAAGGTTAGATTAGAGACAGCACAGTCTGTCTAATGCTCACCTCTGAATTGTCAGTGGCCCCAAGTAGGCCACTGACAATTCATTACTTATCTGGCTTGGGATTGAAGTCGGACTAGAGGTAAGAAACTAACGCCATGTACATATGAACAGGGTAATTCTTGGCAAGTAAAGCTGTCGATTTTAAAAAAAAACTTTTTTTTTTAAACACTGCTTGTTTGTACTCGACTGCCGTGATGCAACTTGCTTCATGTTTACGCCTTGATCTTTGCTTCTCTGCTCACATGTCTATAAGCAGTTCCCTGGTCAATTCATTTCTCCCGATTCCTGACATGTCTAGGTTTGACTGCCTCACTTCATTAAAGTGGTTATACAGAGTGTATAGTTTTCCCTTACACTGGATATCTGGATTCCTCATTTATTTCATTAATCTTTGTCAAAAATAAGTAGATTCTTTTTCATGCAAAGTATGCACCCACTTGAAACCAACTTACTGATCTATGAAATACTTCTGAAATGCAGACAGTAAGAACCAGCAAAAAGTATGCTACTAAAGATGCATATTATCTGTTACAAAGTACATAGAGTTTGATAACTTTTCTTACCACACCTCTCTTCTACACTTTGAGGGAAACAGTTCAGAATCCCATAGAGACACTGGCATAAAAAACATCCTTCCTGAGTCCACTCTCCATGGCCAATGGCACCACAACTCCTGCATAATGTGAGGAAAAAACAATTCCATAAATGCAGTTCCCCAAGATTGAAAATTAAGCTTCCTCTTAGTAGGGAGTCAGTCCACTGTTGCTTACCTGATCCGTTTATCATGTTCACAATATCTGCCAGCAAAGTATTTGGGGCATATGCAGAAACTTCCCAAAAAACAGGCCCCACCATTCTGACAGCAGTTTTTGTTCAATTTGCTGGCTGAAATCAGAAGTAGAGAAAGTAGAAAGGAAGGAATAAAAATCAGGCAAGAAACAGGAGTGCTGAACAGACAGACACCCCATCTTATTGCCATACACAGCTAGGTCACTAGTGCAAGCCTGGCTGATAATTAGCCAGCATCTAAGGGCTTCAGGTTTTAGTTCTTGTTGTGGAGACCTGCTTACTAGGTATCCATTAGTAATGGAAAGAATCCATTATAGTTACCCTCAATTGCTAGCAGTTTCAAAGAGGGCCAGGACTTAATTAAGTTAAATTCTTCTTCAATTAAGGTTTAATTACCTTCTGTCTACAGATTTGGTTCCTTCAGGCTTCATTATTAGTCTGTGGCTAAATACAGGATTTCAAATCTCCAAGAATATTTAATCCAGTGCCTTTTACCAATACTAAATTCACTTTAAAATAAATGAAGTGTTTCAAGGCATTTCCTTGATCAGATTTGTTGGTGTGACGTTACTTATTAACAATCAAAAACTAAAAAAGACTGCCTTCTTGACAGAGCATACCCAGTGCCAAATTACAGCAGGATGCCAGAGATTTGTCACTAGAATTTGTGCAGAATAATAGAGCAGATCACGCTACCTGGAATGGATTTCAAAGTGAAACAGTAGCAGGTAACATTCTCTTACAGATATTACCTCTTTCTACTAATGCATAAACCAATGGAGAATACTGTAAAGTCTCACTTATATCCAGAGCAAGAACTATGCAGGCAACAGCATCTTTAGGCACTCTAGCTATTAATACACACGCACCTGATCTCTAAATTAGAGGTCTTTGTAGTTTATATTTAATTAGTATAGGGGAAAATTGAAAACAAAAGAACATGCTCTGCCTGCTTTCAGCATAATCCCCTTAATATTCTAATGGTGAAGGGAATTCTTACATTTGGGTGATCGTACTACTTAGAGAGGTATTGCTATTGGTATATCATTTAAAAATCCAAAGAAAGTAAACATCTCTGGGGGGAACTAAATTCATAAGGAAGTTCAGTGATAGTAGCAATGGTTCCCAAACTAATGAGAAGCATTTATTGTCAGACTTTTGTGACAGAAGTGGTATACAGTACTGTGAGGCCTATGTTAATAGGCATATCTAGTTTCATGCTGGTGTTCTATTTACAGTATTAAGTGATTTTAATAACTGATTGCTATGCCTGTAATGTACGTTGTTTCTGATAATGAGCCGTAGGGAACAGAGCATTCCCCTTTTTTTTTTTATTTTTTTTTATTAGTATACTTTTGTAGCTGTCAGGAGCCGTAGTCATGGACTAGGACTTCATTGTGCTAGGCTCTGTACAAACAAAGAAAAAATGAACCAAGAGTAACCATCTTTCAGTGCACTGATCTAGAAATGAGGTTTTTTCTTGCCATGTCAGGCTACTATGGCATTCACTAGCTAATAATAATAGAGCTAAGACTCCTGGAAAGATGGTTTCCTTTTTCATAATATACCCTGCCCATCTAGCAGTGCTGTTTTCAGGAAAGAATCTCTCAATTTGTGCCCAGAAGCACAAAAATTGATTATCCTTACTTTTAGCATGTCTGATTATAAGTTCTGAGTCATCCTGTTATTCTGTAACTTAAAAAAAATTAATTACCATGCCTGACTTCTTATACACTGTGTGACTAAGTAATGCAAATGGAGAACAAATATAAATGTTACTTAAGAAAACAGTTTGTTAATTAAGGCTACTTTTGCTATTGTGAACAAATAACTAGAAGAACCTGAATCTTGTATAAAGTGAACACTGACTCTTCCCCCTTTCTTTCATCCCAGGATGTAAATATAGAAATTGTAAACATGAGAAAAATATTTTTGATCAGACATCATGTAGTGTTCAAACAGCAATAAAATCCTGATTGTGTATTTCTAGCTAAGCGAGACAGGTAGAACCAACAGTCAACCCTATTTCAATCAGCAACAATGGGAAGGTGTAGGTTAAATACTTTTGACTCATTTCCCCATTTAAAACATTGGCACTGGAATGAAACAGTAGCGTTTCTGACTTTCTGTAGGGCCTGCATTTTTCAAGTACTCCATAGGCTATTTTGATGGCATTCTGTATGACTAAATGCCATGTCATATTTTGATAAATCACAAACGGATGACCAATTCATACAGTACTGGAAACTCCAAGCACTTAAAAACTGATTCTTAACAGTAAGACGTGATGGTTCTTTTAATTTGCCATCTGGTTTCTGAGCTTGGAAACTGCATTTCAGTTCTGTTTTAAGGCTTTTCTTTACAACCATCACAGTTGCACCTTTTATTTATTGAATTCTCACCCACTCATAATTCTTTACGGGCTGGGTCTTTGAAAACATACCAAATATTGTAAAAGTAGCACTACAATCATAAGATTTGGCAACTCTGTTTATATTTACTTTCACTTGGGGTTAACTAGAAAGTTGATCTAGGCTAACCAATTTTCTCATTCCAAACACAAACTAAAAACCAGATTATAACACACCATTTGGAGACAATATCTAGAAAGTGTGTATTTTTATTAGCAAGATTAGGCTGCTCTCTTGTTATCTCGTTGCTTCAGATTTATGGTGTGATTTTTTTTTTTTTTTTTTTTTTTTTTTTTTTTAATTCAATAGTGCCTGTGCAGGAAGGATTACAGGCAAGACATGGACACACATTCCTTCTGTGTGTTTAAAAAGATGTACTTGCACACACTAAGGAATATTACCAAGTGCACATTGGATGACTTCACACATAATCAGAGCTCTGTGAATACTGTATAATCATTCCACGGGATGTATTGAAGAAACCCCACATTGCTGCAAAATTTAGACCCAATTTCAAATGGCTAAATAGGTTTTGGCTTGTAAACAATAAATGTGCTGGTACAATCATGAAGGTTTTTCATAAAACACAACTGTGAATGTAAATGCAATGTTTTATGCATGCAGCAGATAGACACAAAAAGGTAGGCCTTGATCCTTTGCCATAAGGAAGTCAAGTCATGTAATACTAGATGTCTGGAAGGGTTTCTTTTTTGGTTTGAACATGAAAACCAGTTTACTCATAATATAATGAATAACTTACAGCGTGTGAGCCCAGTAAAAGGTAAAATCTCAGATGGGTTTCTCCTCCTCCTCTCAGAATTGAGATTATTTATAGCAGTAAAGGTGTTTAAGGAAGTGCTTTGATTTTTCTGATCTGGGTTATTACAGTTCTCCTTGCACCCTATAAAAATGATAATAAGAGTTAAACTTTCAATGATGGCTAACTGAAGATTCAGCACCAATAACTAGCAGGAAGTAAAAGTGTCCAAATCAAGTACTAAGTGTCAAAGATTATTTTTGTGTAGTATTATGGAAGTATTAATGTACTAGTCAGTATTTTAAATTAATTTCTTTAGCTTTTTGTTTAATTACTTGAGGGCTCAATTTAAATCCTACTGTCTGGGTTCAGAAAGAGAGAGAACAGGAAAAAAATCGGCTTCCAAGAACTTTTTGAAATGTCTTGCTGAAATCCAAGTTATATCATAATGCAAATGACATTAACAGGAGACCAAATCAGGGATTAGATCCCTCTTGACTAGGTACTGTATATACAAACCAAAAATGCCCCCCCATAGAAATGATATAAAGATATCTTGATATATCAACCCTGGGCCCTGTCTGTCCTCAAGTGTGCTTTACAGTTCAAATGACAACAGAATTCAGTGTGCAAAGTTACAGAAGACCTGAACATCTGGTCACAAAGATAAGTATCCCTATTTAGGGATACATATATAAGGGTTTGCAGGGTGGGGGAACAAAAGGGTACTTGATTTTTGTGTCTACTTTCTGGAATAAAATATTTAAAAATTCATAGAAAACTACTACATAACTTCATTAAAAAACCCAACAAACAACATAAGCCAAATAGAGAGAATTTTTTCCTTACCATTTCCAAAGTGGATTACTTGTAATGACAGTGCTATACTTAAGAAAAGCCTATAACAGAAGAAAAATACAAATGAGAACATTGATCTCATTAAAGTAAATGAAAAGCATGAAAAAAGCACTAAACCTCTGAAGTTATCATTATAAGTTGTCACAGAAGAAAAGCAGATTTGAGGGAGGAAAGTTAGTATCTTGATACTATACTGATGAGTGTTACAGAAATACTCTTAGTTATAGAGATGTATAAAAGGAAACTGCCTGAATTAAAAGATGTCAGCATACTATAGTGCAGGATCACTGAAATTTTCAAGACTCTGTGCCTGCTCTGTGTAAACAAAGTAGCATTTGCTTACCTTACAAACTTCATCTTTCTTTAGATCAGATTATATTTCACTTCTTTCCTTGCACTTAAAATCACTCTGCAGTAGCTGTCACACTACAGTCAACACAACGAAGAGTTCTTCTGTCCAGGGTGTCTTGGTGAAACACTGAAAGGAAATTGAAATCAGCCCCTTGCTCTTCAACCAAAGAAAAAGTACTATGTATGTCCCCCTGAGCTTTAACACTACTCCCTGCAGCATTTTGCTTACTGACAATTATCACCTTCCTATTCTCTCCTCCTATCTCCTCACTTAACCTCTCCTCATTAACTTAGCAATTTGCATTGGGGCTGAAGAGATGATTTAACTAGTGGGTTATGTGACTGACCATGGGACAGCCTCTGGGGTTCCTCAGGTAAAGATGAAAGGAGATTTCTGTATGAGTTAATTTTTTAAAAGCACACTAAAATCCATGTGCATACTTATAATATCTTGGAAATGAGTGGGCATCATCAGGACCAAAGGTAATTCTTGCCATACTAGTGCATGGTACCAATGTAGGGATGCTTGATCAAAAGGACTGCAAAAAACAGTGTCTAGAATAAATCAGAAACCCTGCAAAGGGGTCATATATTAAATTGGCTTAATTGTAATTAGGTCTTTTTATATATGCCACTTTTCTGAGGCTGTCTTAAAATGTTAATTGCAATAGTTGGTTCATATTGAACTATGTAGTACCTTGAGCACCTGACAGGTGAGGGAGGGACTTTAGCCATACATGTTAGTTGTTATTACATTACAGGGTTCATCCAGCTTTAGATAAGGGTTTATCGCTATGCAGAATTACATGGATTTACTTAAGACATGCTCTCTTTTTCTAAACCAAATTAATTAAACTTTTTCCAAAAGACTTTGAAACAGTTTTATTTCAATTAAATGGTGTTTATTTTGTTATAGCTTATGTCAATCAGAATAATATATAAACTAAACTGAAATAAGATACACCACAAAAGAGCTTGTGCTACTTTAAACTAACTAATTGTATTAAACTGGTATGCATTCATTCGGGGACAAAATCAATTGATATAGGCATATCGATTGTAGTATTACAAAACCCCATCAGAAATCGGGGTAGAATGCATGAGCTTTTATGAGCAAGAGCTCACTTTACCAGCTGCTATGTCTTAAACATCTGAGTCTGTAAGGTGCATCTCAACCTCGTCTTCTGCCTAACTTCAAACTAACACAGCTAGCTAACTACTTTTCTAAGCCCAATTGTTCATAATTTCATGAATTTGATCTAAGAATGATAAGAAGGATAGAATATGTGGTGTACAATGAAATCTTGAACACACCATGTTTGTTTAACCTAGAAATTAAAAGATTGAAGGGGGTACATAATAGCAACCTTCTAATGTGTTAAACAGTGATACTCTGGTCTCTCTCTGCCCTTCAAATCTATGAAGACTGTACATTTGAGGCTTTAGTGTCTCCTCTCTGTTTGCAGCCTGCCCGCTGCTTGCTGCAGCTGCCCAGAGCCTGGGCTGGCTACAAACAGGTGCGCCAGGCTCTGGAACCCAGTCACCAGCTCTGTGTCAGCAGTGGGG